TAAAACAACTTTTCCGTTTGTGTCTTTTTAGATAATCCGATGGATCGAATTTTCTGCCGCATTCATTACACTTAAATTTCTCAATGTCACTGTGCATCGTTCGTGTCTTTGCAGACTATCAAGCCGTTTGTATTTGTTATCACATTTATTACATTGAAGTATTTGTTCTTTGCTCTGTTCTCGTTGCTGATGCCTTTGCAGACTTTTAAACCATTTGTATTCTTTGTCGCATTCATTACATTTGACATCTTAAATGAAACGAAATAATTCAATAAGCGTTTTGTTGATTACTTTTGCTGAAATTTTTTAACAGATACCATTACAGGAATTTTAAGTCAGTTTTACTAAAAACTTCAAGGATGGATTGATGGAATAATTTGATTGTCATTTCAGCTATTTTATGCCGCGAATTTGAGACAAATAATGAATGACATGAAAGCGACGAAAAGATTGACAAACTGATGTGATCAGAATCGATTTGGAAGTTCAATATATAAACTTTTTGTTTTTTTCACGTTGGTTTTTGTCTCGAAATGTGATTGCAACATTGATTGCCTCCAAAGTAACGAGAGAAGTAATTGAAAAAAATAAGTGATTAAAATGGATAAGCAATTGAAAAACGGTGATAACCTAATATTTAATCATTGGCTTGAACAAAAAACTTTGTGAATATTTATCAGCTTTTCCTTACAGTCTGAATTACTCATCGTCACCTGTGCGACGGATAATTGCAGCAGAGCGACTATGAAATAAAGCGGAAATGGCATGCTAATTAGCCAATAGTTTCCACCTGAAAATGATAACCTTTAAGCGACGGAATCTGAAATTGAACATATCTTCGAGAAATGTTCCTCAAAATTGCATAACTAAAAAATATTAAAAGACAACTAACCGCCAACGAAATGACAATTTTTACGCTGGCAAAGGCAACATTTCTATGCATTTCGATAAGCGTACGATCTGTGACCAAATAAAATCACAGCTTTTACAAAATCAATTTCAACTTCGCAAGTCTCCAAAGCATTTTATTCGATACAATGGAAAATTATAATTCCATGCGAAAAAGATCAAAAATTATAGCTGTCTGGATTGTGTCAATTAATATTTTAGAATTGACATTTGATCTTGTCAACTCTCGGGATAGAAAAATACCGGGGAGTTGTTACAACGATGCATTTTGTAAATTTGTCATCAAAAAAAAACGATAGAGCACTGCTTTTTGTCCACATTTGAATTTCCGACTTTTTTAGGATGGATTCAGAGTTCAAAATTTGTAATGAATTGGCAAGAATTAATATCCGTACGGAATGCAATCAGATAGTTTCTGATTCTCAAAATGCCTATATATGGTCTAATTCAAATTTATGATATGGTGATTTTCATGAAAGGAAATTCGAAAATCAGGTTTAAAGCTGGAAAAAATTGGTAAAATGATCAAGAACGATGAGCCGAAAAAATTTTTACTGTTGTGATTCAAAATTTTCGAATAATAAAAAATCAGAAAATTTTAGTTTGTTTTCAATATTATCTATTTCAGTTTGGTTCGGCAAAAATCCGATGAAATATAATTTCCGAAATGGAGGGTGAAAAAACTCATTCTTATTTCAGAAAATTGTTTTATTTCAGATTTGAAGATAAAGTCAAAATTTGGATAGGAGAGAAATTGATTTTGGGAACATTGATATGTTCGGAATTCTCATATCACTGGAATAATATTCATAAATAAAGACATATAAATAGCAATGGTTAAACAAAATTTCGACTGACCAAACCAAAAATAAAGTTTCTTTTTTGTTAAAACTAATGCAATCTATAGAATCTCCCAAATTATCTCTTTCTTTAATTTCTCCTTATCAATTTTTTTTTTTTAAATAGACTCTTATTATTGCTTGTCCATCTCCAAAGTAATCCGACGAAACGATCGATAAATGTGATAATTTTATCGATATGTTATTATGTTATCACACCAAAAAGTAATTCAACTACAGAATTCACTTTATTCATCCTCTACGCATTTAGCGTAACACACGTGGCATTTACTGCTTCAGTTTTCCTTTATTCGTCTGAATTTCTTTTTATAAATTTCCAAAAGACAGTAAAACTTTGAAGAAAATCTTAACGCATTTTTTTACATCTCGTAATTTTTCCATTTCTTTTCTGGAAATATTTCGTCCAAATTTTCAAACCTATTTTTAAAATGTCCAAATTTGCGTGCCATATTCCAGTTTGATCAACAAAATTTTTATTTTTGATTTGTTACAAATGCAAATTACATCATCCATATTGTGTTGTGAAATTTGCTTGGTGAGGAATTATTTGTTTGATTTGATTTGGGAAAGCTTCGTGGCTATATGGTACAATCGAATCCGCTGGTGAAGGTTTGTTTCTTGGTGGTTGTCTGAAATTCGGATTGATTTTGGATTATGGGGTTAGTTGTTTTTCCTTGAGGTGGGGTGAAAGTTGATCGTTCTATTAGATCACGATCTGATGGATTAGACTTAGATTCGTTATTTGGGTCTTGGTCTCGAATACTTGTTCCAGACTTTGCTGACTTTGATGTGGTGATTATGCTAACAGATGTAGTTTATTGGATCGAGTGAGATGTATTGAGGACAATAAACTAAAGTTAACTGTGCTCGAAGCTGCCAGAATTAACAGTGATGAAAATTAGCAGTTACATTTTTAGAGACAGTTGCAAGAGAACGTACGGATGTTGAAATGGATGAAAAGATGGCCCTATCTGGTGGTATATTTGACGATATCCCAATGTGGGAGGTACGAGGATAGTGGATAATGAACTTAATAGATAAGCCCAGGGTCAGGACAATGTCATGTTGGGAAAGGAAGAAGCAAAGAGGACAAAGAGCTTTGTGGGATTACTTGTTAGCTGCATCGGTTTCATAAAAGACAAAGAACAATTAAGGGGCAAAGGCGTTATAAAGCAGTCTCTTAATTAATTATAGCAACACAATGGGGTCATATCACAAGAAACAAAATCTAACAATAACAAATTGTGAAATGTAGCTTCCTTAATTTAACTGCTAGAATAAATTTATACATTTTACTGAGGAATATTTCTAATGAATTTGAGTTGATGATTTTGTCTTAGGATTGATTTCGGATTTCCCAACGTATTGGCCAGATTGTATAGATGACATCCGCTCTTTAGTATTTAACATTAAGGAAAAATTAAATTTCACCTATTTCACAATTAAGTAATTTGTAGGATTCATTGAATCTGAATATTTCTCTCACATGTTCCTCTTCACAATTGAACCAAAATAAAGCAATGTTTTAGGAGATTTTCTTGATCGTGGCCCAATGCATATTCATCATGATTTCTTCGATATGCAACGTTTTAGAAGTGTCGGTTTACCTGTCGTGACGTCTTCGATACATGATGCATAACGTGTTCGGCGTTTTCGTCTATGTACCATGACGTTTTCGATATACAACGTGTTCGGTATTTTCGCTTACGTATCATAAGATTTCAATGTGAAACGTATTCGACTTTTTTCGTTTACGTGTCATGCATGACGTCTTTGATATTTTTCCTTTCCAATCATGCTTCCGATATTTAATATTTCCGCCACCGTAACACGATGTGTTCCATAAGTGTTCATGAAATTTTCATGTTAAAAATTTATATATTAAATCATTTATTAAAAATCAATGGTAGACATTCAACATTTTACGGCATAAACTGACAAAAAAGTTTGACAAAAGCATGTCGTCAGCATTTTTTTTCTTCCTTTCTAAAGGAGATCATTAACAAATTTGAAAACCGGAATTTTCATTGGTCGAATTATGCATGGGTGAACGGGAAAAAAAGGAAGAAGGAAGGAGGTATGAAATTTGTCAAATTTGAAAATCACAGCGCTGGAAGAATAATGTTTTCAATAATATTTAAATAAACTGTCATGAAGCAAATTTGCTAAATTTTTCATTTGTTCGTTTACAGTTGCCTGAAAAGTTATTGAAATAATCAGTTTCTAATTATCATTTGATAGCTAAAAGTTTCCTTGTCCCTTTTTTAAGAAAGAAAATAAGGAAAAAAATTATTCGATTATTTTAGATTTAACGATAAATGAAAAAATATTTTTGTTTCTTTTTGAAATTATAATTGTCACTTCCAAGTTGATGATTTAACAGATAAAAGTAGGATTTGTGTCATTTTCTGTCTTTTGAATATTTTTTAATTTTCATTAAATTAAACTCATCATCAACAAAACTAATTAATCAACAATTATTCATATGGTAACAAATGCTTCTGTACGAGACTCAAAATTTCGTGAATTTCCTACCTCCAACTTCAATCAATGATAATCAGTGATGATAATATTTCTAATAATTCTACAGGTTTTTTGTAAAATTTTGAACGCAAATGAAAAACTTTATGGAATCATTTTTTCTGTACGTTTATTCATTTTAATTTTCTCTTCTCTTTTGAATTTTCAAATTTGGAAAACATTTTGGAAATTCTGTCAGTTTGTTCGTTTTTTGAGGATAAAGTACTTCTTCTGTTTTAATTTATCATACATTTATCACGAAATATATTTTTTTGGTATGAAAGGAAAAAATTGAGTTTTATGGTTGTTTTTTGAAATGAAATTAAAAACAAAAGAAGAATAAAGAATCGATTTTGTGATATTAATAGTATCAAAAATTAAGCATCAATTAGAAATTGATTTTTACATTACATTCTTTTATGTTATTTGATTTCTAATATCGTTTGGTTTGATGATATATTTTAAATTTCATCATTAGTTAACTTCAGGATTTTACTAGTTACAATAACTGTTGTTACCGCTATAAATTCATTCAATGGGAATATTATTGCAGCAAATGGTCCAGTAA